CACTCACTATCGCTTCCTGGCTGGCCCTAGCACCAGGGAACTGCCTGCATCTCTCGTGGGTTCTGGCACTCTGCTGCTTTAGGGTTCCTGCCTGCAGCTGTCTCAAGGAAACGGGAGCGCTGTTAGGGCTACTGTTTAGGGTTTGAATAGTCCTGTACTCTACCTTATATCCCATCCTGTACCCCTTTTATTTTCACTGTTTGTCTCCAGCCCTCGAGCCTTTTACCTTTGAAGCTCTCCCTCAGCCTCTCTGTGTAACTGCCAAACTGCCCCGCTGAACCCTACAAACTTACAACCCTACGCTTGCAACCGGGGATGCTCCTTATCCATAGGCCCCAAGAGATGTCCCTTAGCCCGGACCAGGCAATCCACAGTTGCTCCCTACCCTACCTAAGTTTGGCCCTGAGACAGGGCAGAGGCTGACAGAGCCGAACTCTTTGCGGAGGCCAGGCACGAAGCCTTACCAACCGCCGCCTCGAGGAGGGGTGGGAGCAATCCCCGGCTGCGGAGGGACAGAGAGCCCAGGGTGGGGCGGGGCGGGAAACCCCCTGTTTCCCCAACCCTGTGGATCGTCCCCCCACTATCTCTTCCTGGCTGGCCCTAGCACCAGGGGTAATGCCTGCACCTCTCGGGGGTTCTGGCACTCTGCTGCTTTAGGGTTCCTGCCTGCAGCTGCCTCAGGGAAACGGGAGCGCTGTTAGGGCTGCTGTTTAAGGTTTGGGTTAGGGATGGGGTACACTTGTATTGTACCTTACCTGTACCCCTTATTTTTACTGTTTGCTCAGCTTTTTTTTTTTCTACAAGCTCTTGGGACAGACTAGGGGCACTGGGAGGGACTGCCAAGATGAAATCCAAAGGCAAAAGGAGAAAGATCAGCCCTGCAAATCCACACTGGCTCACCCGTTCAACTGCTACTTCCTGGCAAAATGGTTTGTCCGTCAACATCTCCTCTGAGCAATGCTCCACATCCAAGTGCATCCAGGTGCTCCCCCAGACCCTATGAGATGCTCTCACCGTCACTCCATCAGATGCCACCGGGAGCCCACCAGAAACTCCTCTCCTCCAGCAGATCCATGCCAACGTCGATTTGCCGCTCGTATTTGGCCCTGTAATAACGGCAAAATTGTTGCCTTCTGTCAGGTACGTGTTGTTAGACACAGGTTTTTCCATAGCCATCTTTTCAAGAACGAGGTGCCATCCCTGCTTGATTGCTAAATTAACAGTAAATTCTGGGAAACCTAAAGGAGAAAAAAAATCTAAAACACTGACGAGCTAATATGGGAACCTTTACATGATTAAACTAGTATGTTTTGAAATAAAGTGAATTCTTCCAGTCCAACTGCAAAAATCCCATTCCTAAAAATAAAATAATCAGAAAACAAGCAGCATCAAATTCCCACCAATGTCATCAATAAAATCACAATACCTCCACCAAGTAAGAGAAAAAATCTTATCGTATGAAAAAACCCAAACTACCTCAAGAAGATTCAACACTGAAACACAACGCATCCTAACACCTCAATTACCTATACTAGAATTAATCTTGAAAACAAATATTCCCTCTATCCACTCCATCAATACCGCATAAAACAAACAAAATATTCTCAGCACAGCGCACTCATATCAAAAATGCAAAGTGCCCTAAAACCTTTAAAATCATTAAAAAATTAACCCTAAAATAAAAACTTTCATCTCACTAACAAAAAAACCCCGAAAAACAAAACAAGTAACACAAGCTAAAAAAACTCCACCCTACAATCAAGTACCACAAAAAAGATACTATGGTCTTTCAGTAACAGTTCTTGTCACACCACAAAAATTAAACATAAATAAATAGCAACCCTATGGGACTCCACGCAACCCACAAAAATTAAACATAAATAAATAGCAACCCTATGGGACTCCACGCAACAAATCACACAGACTATTAAAAAATAATCAGGCCAAGTCACGAAACTCCAGACCATTCAACTAATGCTAAACATCACTAAAAAAATCCCTAAAGCTCTACCTTTAAACTAATACGTAGATAGTTACTGATACTCCATTAAAAAAAATAAAATTTAAAGCTAATTAAAAACAAAAAATATCCATCTAAACTACTAAGAAATTGAAAAATATCACCATCCCCCCCATAATACCTATAGAAATGCACTGTATGAATGCCCATGTCCCCAAATATAATACTAATAATAAACACCGCAACATAAAGAAATCCAAACGTATCATCAACACCCAAACTGAAAAACACAACATGAAATAAGTAAAAGAGATCCGGTAATATACACCACTACAAACAAAATTAAACAATCAATTACTAAAAATCACCTTAAAACCACTAGATAAGAAACTTCAGATCATTAACAACTGCATCTAACAATAGCCACCTAATTAACACCCAAAACTCGGCGAACCAAACAAACAATACCCAATTTGAACCCCTACATACTATAAACAAAAGTAAAATCCCAATAATACAGCCCAAAATCTATTTTAATTGATTTTACCTAAAAAACAAAGAAACCCATTCATCAAATTATCTTTACTCAAAAACCAAATTTCACATACTATACAACACAATAAAAAAGCACACCATGTACCACCAAAAAATCTAATATTGAATAAAGTAAATAAATAATGCACTAAATATTGAGTAAAAACCACCTCTACTTACTAAATATTACGACCACTATATTTAACTGTTTCTACATAAAAGTATATCTACAATTAAAATACATTACTTAGAGCATTAAACCAAGTATAAACAACAAAAAATAAAATGTCCTAAAATTACATTATATAAGAATATCCCCTATGTTTGCTTTATGCCCAAACATAAATTCTCTAACTTCAAAACTAAAAAAAAAAAAATCTTCGAACATAAAATCTATATGCAGTCTATTATCTAACACAGACAACAAAAAATCCATTTTTTACTTTTTAAAAATAACTTCTGGTCGATTAGTGAATACAAAAAAATTGCCACAGCGGTGGCACTAGGCACGCGGGGGCGGCCCCGCGCTCCCGGCCCCGGACGGAGCGCGGCTCCCGGCAGGAAAGCGGCTCCTCCGGCG